ATTCAAAGGGCTGTAACTTTTGAACTAGTACCCCAATCTTGGAACTGTTTGAAATTATGGATTCTACAGGCCACATTCTATAAGAAAATTTTTTTTCCGGGTCGATCTGAGACAATTTTTTTTTCGGGGCTCAAAAAAAGGCAGTGTATAACCTTTCTTTTTTACCAAAAATCGACTGCACCAAAATTTCTCGGGAAAACACGTCTTTTTCTTATTAATTTTGGTGCTTAGAATCCAAAACAATTCGTACTTTTTCGATCAGACCTCTCCTGGGTGGAAACCGCGAAAGCGCCCTTTGGCATGATATAGGCTATCCCTACCTACTGTCAGTATTTCAAGTTAATCGATTAATTTTGAAAAAAATTCCAGGGCAAAACCTTCATTTCCTGGGCGAATTCGTTATTTTCATGTCACACGTATCAAATTTCGTCAACATGAAACATTTTTCGTGTTCCGTGAGTACGCAATCTTGGAGTAAGAATTTTGCCCAATTCCCAATTACCCAATTCACTGCCCTTCCAGTCTACTCTCGAAAGGTGCTTCTTATAATGAGCATATGGGAATACCAAATTATCGATTAAATGAGGAAAGAGATTGAGACCACTAGCAAGATCAAGAAGTCGGCGTGATCCTGTTTGCGGACAATATTTTTATTCTTAGATATTAAACTACTTTTTGCTAAATGCTGTAATTATTTCCTTATTTAATGGTGTCAGATTCAATTCCGGAAGTTGTAAGTGAAATATATTTCGCAGTACTGCCAAAATTTGGTTTCTACACAATTTCAACAGGCCTGTTCTTTTTTTGATAGACCTAGCTTCAATTTGTGGGAAAATCAATCCGGTTTGTTTAAAAATAAGTACAGTTCGTATAAGCACTGGATATGTGGAAGGCGTGAGTTCATAAAAATTTCAAGCATCCACAATTAAAATAAAGTGGAATGTGCGTTCTACGTAATAAAATAAATATCGACCGTATAAAAATATTTATAACATCAAATCGGTTGTACAGTTTTAGAAAATCAACGAGGCAAGTGGTGTTAATTAATTTGCAGTGCGGTCCTAATTTTAACATATAAAGCCCTATAATCTTTAGAAAACTCCAAATGTACGCAATGTCAACTTTTACACTTTGCCGGCGGTCATATCAGAAAAACGAATTTGTACGCAACCCTCAGAAGTGGTCTAGGGACACGATTCCGCACTGGCAATAAATGCTGTCGAGTCACGTACAGCGAACTAGAAACGGCACAAAGATTCTTCTAGGTTTTCCTACAAAGAAATGCTTTCGCATTATGAGCGTGACTTTTGCATTTAACATTGAGGGAAACAGCATCTAATTAAGATTTTTACTTAACAATGACGTTATATTAGGTTACTTATTGCAGTTTGGGGGAGACAAAAAAAGGCATACGCCAAAGAATAAAGAAGACAACATCGACTGCACGTGAACGGTTTGGGATGAGAATTCGATTCCAGTTGCCTGAAGATAACTGTAGTGTAGAAGTTGTCACCCACTCCACCCTCTCGTCCGTCGTCTTTCTGATCGCACTCTCGAGCACTACCCTATTTCGCTTCCTTACGCGAGGGTTGAGGGTTTCTCGCCGCCAGCGTTCGACAAATTCGAGGCGCCTGCTAGCTTGTTAACTTTCGTTTCACGGTTACTTGAAGCGAAATTAATTTAGCTTGGAACTGGATTTATCGAACGATCGATTTATGCCGGACTTCTTGCTCACTTCATACTGCGATAATTATAATTTATACGAAAAGTGACTTTGATTTTCAATTCCGTGGAAAAAACGCGCCGTTCCGCCTTTTCAATATAAGATAAAGAAATTCGAAACCCACATTTCACATTCTATTGTTAGGCATAATTTGGATGCTTGGTTTGATTCATCATTACAACTCGTTGGCTACGTTTTAGGTAGCAACGGTGTTAGATGGCGTTCCTCCTTTGTGCCTTTGTTCTTGGTAGCTGATGTAAGAAATTAGAATACCTTGAGCATTTCGTTCTCGGCGACGCCACTCATTTTCAAGGAAGGAAATACAAAGGCGGTAACGCTGCTGCGATGTTATCGCGTCCGTAGCAAATACGTCTCTCGTTTCGTGAGGCTTCCCAGAGGGCTTCGCAATATGCTACGTCCCAGCAATGTACAAATTATTGTGTTCGCCATTCTCGTATTTTTCCCCCGTAAATTAGAAAAATTTTACAATCTCTTTTAATTACCTCTACACTTCAATTAATTACCACGCAAAAATCATGCCTTCGTTGAAACACTTTTCCACTTCCTCGATTGAAAAAGACATAAACTAAAATAGCTCACGCGTTTTTCTTGAAAATTTATTTCAATTAAACTAATGGTATAATTGCATAAGCGTTTCGAAAGTGAAAAAAATATCGACTAAACGCGAAGACATCCAATTTCAGAAGTAAAGTAAAAAGTACGTGCAAAAAACGGTTACCAACACAGTATAAGAAGGCTAATTAAAGTAGAGCGGAATGGCACAGGATATCTTCCAGCACCCGGGCGTGCAATGACCTGAGTTCAAATATATATAAAAGAGTACAGGACAAACTCTTTCGGGAATAGAAGAATTAATTTAGTTGGCACCGGGACCGGATTACTTCAAAGGGATATTTGTTGATCCCAGTTCCAAAAGAGCTTCAGACCTGTAGATTTTAGCCAATTGAAGATGTACACCAAATATTTTGTGGTCAAGTTCTATTTGTAGCGTTTTATTAGTTTTTAGCCTCAGAACACTTTTAGGGAATTAACCTGCAACAGCAGTACGGTAGTTACAATTACAAATATGATAAGACTAATTTGTGGTGTAGTTTTATTTTCTTTACATGGAGGTTTCTGTAGCAAAATGTCTACTTTTGCGGCGATTGGTGTATGTGTAGCAATCGCACGGAGTGTATAAAAGCAGATGAAGTTCTCTAGACTCAATTAAACAATACGTCTCTTTATCACAACCCTCGCGCTAATTAAGTGATTACAAGGAGTGAACGATTCGCGCATCTCTTATTAGGATGCATTTGATGCGTT